CACACACACACACACACACACACACACACACACACCATTCTCTTACACACACACCTTTGGATTCCAGGATCTGGACTGTCTCCTGAGCAGCTTGAGAGCGCTGGTGTATTCTGTCTGGATCCTCCTCGCCGGCACCACCAGGTCTCCGTCCGACTTTGTCACCACAACCAAGTCGGCCCTCTCGATGATGCCCCTCTTGATGCCCTGGAAAGAGATTCTGACATCAGCGAGGGAAGTAATCAACAGTCAGCATATGTACATATGTACAAAGCACCAGGTGTTTTTCTTCTATTCACAACAACAGGAAAATATTCGGAGTGTTCAGATAAGGTGTGGCAACTGGGTAGAACACCCAAGAGGCAGGACGTATAAATTCTGCAGAAATCATGTGTTTCTGTTTACACGTAATGTCTGGAGCCTCTGACTCTGGTTTGCATTCTCACATAGAGCCCCTCTTATTTTCAGGAGATTATCCGGAGTTCAGTGCATGTCTGAAAGCAGCTTTAATAAATAATAAATCTGATGTCCGGGTACCTCAACCACTGAGGGATCTCTGCACAGAGTGATGGATGGAGTTCTGTTTGTTTGTTTGTGTTATTGCTGCAACATTAGCACAAGAAGCCAATAAGATGTCGTCGTGTTTCTCTCTGTTCAACCCTCACTGATGTTTCCACTTGTTGTGGTTTCCGAGTGAAGACTAGAGGAGATGGCAATATTTCACTGACACGTCACCTCAATGCAACTGAATGTCTGTGTCACATAATTTCAATCTTGTGCAGGATGTGTGAAATATCCTACTTAACATCTGCATAACATTATTTTTGGTTTCATGTAAGATATAATTACACTAATTGAAACTAATGCCACTTGAGGAGCTTAATGAACATAATCACCATAATATTAATCCTAATGGCTGAGGCTAATTGAGCAATTAATTGAACTAATTAATACATTGATTAGCATATAGTTGTTGTCAACATATTTATCTTTACATTAAACATGGGAACAGTGACCAGTTTCTTCTTAATAACTTCAATTTAAAAATGTATTTATGCAGCGAGGTGATTAAAAATGTAGATTAGATCATCTGTGACCTTAAATATTCACACAATTATTCTTTTACTTGTAATTAATCATATTTATCATGAATTTCCGTGGTATAAAAAACAAAAAGACTGAAACATAAATGTATGTGTGTATAATCTACTTCTCTAATGTTATAGTCACGTGATCAATGCTCAAACATACAGCAGATATGTGCATTAAATGACAAATAATAGGACGGAATAACCTTTAACAAAACTGTGACGAGTGATGTCGCTGCTAAAACTTCAAAAACATTGAACTTTATTCAGCCCAAACCACAGAAAACTTATTTTGCTTCATGATCTGAAACAGACGATGAACTCGCAGCTGTGGATGTTGTTCACTGACCTGGAGTTCGTCGCCCCCTGCTGGTGGAATCAGCAGCACAAACATGTCAACCATGTCGGCCACCGCAAACTCCGACTGACCCACACCTGGAAACACAGACAGGACATTTTAACTGTCGGAGCAGATCAGCATCACGACAAAATAGACAGAAAATCACACAAGAGAGTGGATCAATGACTGCACAACAATGTGGGGCAGCAACACCAGCCAGGGTATCGATTCAAAACTCAGGTCGGTTTCCACGTGTGTGAACAAGAGAAACGTCAAACTAGTTCAATAAGTTTACTTCTTGTTAGAACTTGTTCAGAAATGCTTTTGAATAATCATGAGCTTTTACAGACTTCACAGTGAATAAATTCTTGCCTCTGGGGACACAACAAAGGTGTCTGATGATGAGGAGCCGGTGTCAGACCTCAACACTTAGTAACGACCAAACTGTCTCTGTGGCACCAAGATTGAACAAACTGAGAAGTGAGAGCTGCAGCAAATCCCACACTTACATTAAATACTTCACTTCACTCATGTGTGCTGATTTTAAAACGGTTTCCCACTTTACTCTGCAACAGATTGAAGGCAGGAGAGAAAACTTGACACACTGAATGTGGTTGGATCATGTTGACACTGGAACTGAACCTTTTAGGTCAGACCTGACTTTAACATGCGCCTCTGTGGTTTCAAACACAAGGGGACGGGTCTAAGTGCATTGAGATCCAGCAGAGTAAACACAAATGCATCCTGGGCCACAGTGGTAGAGCACCTACTCCACTGACATCCTGTGTCACTCTGCCCAGTTGCCATTCTCATTTGATAAAGCTGAAAATACACGTTTAATATATTGGGCAGGAGGATCAACAAAAACATAAATTTGGTAAAAATAGGTCATCATTAAAATAGGTACATGATTTTGACTGGAAGAATCAGATACAAGGTTGTCATTAGTTACGTAATCTTTATTAAACATGTTTTTTTTTAACATTTAATTTTCAGCTTTACTTGACTTTGAGACGTAAAACCCAGTGTCTTACCTACAGTCTCTACCAGGACGATGTCATATCCTGCTCCCTCACAGAGAACGATGGCCTCATTGGTTGTTCTGGTGACTCCACCCAGTGTTCCAGAGGTCGGTGACGGTCTGATGAAGGCGTTCATGTCTCTGGACAGTTCAGTCATACGAGTCTTATCACCCATCAGAGACCCTGCAACAAGAGGCACTGATTCAGTTTGTAGCATAAATATTAAGAATGATGCAGTTTAACGTGAGCATGTGGCGTCCCAGAATAATTCATACAAACATAAACAACAAAGTCAACAGCAAAATTATTGAAATATAAATAAACCATTATCCCAACAACTGTTGGGTCAACTTCTGTATCATATGTTCCTGATGTGTGTCTCAGATGATACCTCCTGTTGTGCAGGAGGACGGGTCCACAGCCAGCACTGACACTTTACGTCCACGTTCTGTCAACATCTTCCCCACAACCTCGATGAAGGAAGACTTCCCTGCTCCAGGAGGACCCGACAGACCTGAGACATCGGTACAGAGAAACATGGAGCAGAGGCCTGTGGTCAAAACTAGTTTAACTAAAACTGAAAAGACAATGTTTTGTTTTCCAAAACATATGACTAACATGTGTTACGTGGCTGTTCAGAAAGGCTTGGTTGACGAACTTAATAAGCACTAAACTTGAGACACTTTCAAGTAAATGTTTCATCAAAATCCCTGATATCCAGCAATCGCTCAACAAAAAGAGAAAAAGTGAAAAGTGTGCAGATGTGTCCCTCAATGGCAGAATGTTTTATTTAGATACATTTTGTTGTGGACTAATAACTATCTAGACAAGACGTCTGTATGTCAGTCCACTGACCAGCGTCTCATCAAAATGAAAAACTGTCTCTTAGAAAACATAACCACACACACACCTACTCTGAAGGCCACCGGCTTCCCTCCATTTCGAACCTCCTGCTCCGTCCTGTAGGCCAGCACCCTCTGCAGCAGCACCTGAGCCAGCTCTTTCTTCCTGGGATGCTTCGTCTCCACCAGAGTGATGGACTCGGCCAGAGACGCCCGCTGTCCTCCGATCAGTCCTTCATATAGTTTAGTCAGCAGTCTCTGCTCGGGGCCGCTCAGGTCCTGTACGTGCTGGCTGAGGACTGTGCTCACACGCCGGCGGTGCTGGCAGCCGTGAACTGAGACGGGGCTTTGGTGGGAGGCTGCGAGGACCCTTCGGTGGAGGCAGCGCGTCCTGGTGGAGGAGGACAAGATGTGGCGAAGGAGGGGGAGGCCAGACCGCTCCATTTTGTGGAACTTGTGGGGCTTCTAGGAAGAGAAACAGAGAGAGAGCTTCGATCATACTGACTATTATAATCATTTTATTTTTTATTTAGTTCCAATACTATCTGATGCTGTGTGTTGGTTTGCCTTTAATTCTAACTTGTGCAGCAGCTTGTCACTGTTTGAAAATGTGCTACATAAAGTTTTTCATTATTATTTTTAAGACAAGCTTCAATATCATGAGTTCAAATGATCGAGAAACTGTGAAGACAGGAAGTGAAACCTGATCATTAGTTTATTAAAACTCTTAAAGCACCTTGCTAACCTAAAGTTAGAGTCTGTTTCCACACGAACACAAACATTTTCCACTGAGCGTCAGTCTGACGATACGTGGACGGAACATGGACTCATAGTGAAAACATGAATACAGTCATAGTGAAAACATTAATGTTGTCAAAGAGATAAACAACAAACAAATGACACAAAACCTGAATTCACGCTGACCTCGTATCAGCTGCTCCACTGCAGCGGGTGTCCCATTCATTCTCAACTCTTCCGGTTCCGCTGACGTACAACACCGCCCCCGACAAACAGTTCCGCTCCGTTTTATTTAAAAATGTATTTTAAGGATTTAAACCAAGAATAAATGTGTGAAATAAAATGGTGACAGGTGAAGGTGTTAAAGTGATTTTATCAAAAGTGTTGAGTGAATGAAATGAGAATCTGAAGGGGACAGTTGACAGGTTGAACCAGCAGAGGGCAGCAGAGGTTCATTTTCACAACCCACCTGAAAACAGTCAAACTTTAAAAAGTGGATTTAACAAAATCTATGGTTTCATTCTCCTTCAGTGTTTATATAACTTGATTGATTATATAACTACCTCTGCTACACTTTATAAAACTTTATGGGGAAACATTTAATATTCCTGCACATTTTTAATTCCTCTGTATATATTGAAATCCTATGCAAATGTTTAATTTCTCTGTAAAAGTTTAAATTTTGCTTCAATTGTTTAATTTAATTTAATTTCCTTAATTCCTCTGTTCACATTTAAATTGACATTCATCTCAGGCCAATTTCTACGTATGGTTACTGTGTTATAAGTTAACTCTAATGTGTAAATCAAGTCTAATGTATGTTCAATGTATGTTACTGCCACTGGATGTTTGAATTTCCTTCAGGATGAATAAAGAATCTTTCTATCTGTCTATCTATCTATCTATCTATCCATCTATCTATCTATCTATCTATCTATCTATCTATCTATCTATCTATCTGTCTATTTATCTATCTATCCATCTATCTATCTATCTGTCTATCTATCTTCATATCCCAGTGTCTTAAGATTCTGTGATCATCGAATAAACAAAAACTAAAAGAACTAAGACTCAGGATAATCTGAAAGGTTTTAGTTATTAAGAATATAAATTCTTAGACCTTAGACTAACACTGGACAGGTTATAAAACAGTGGGCAAACCTGTATAACAGCAGTGGAGTTTAAATAAATAGACAAATACAGGAATCCAATAATTTGCATAGAAGCTTCAACTTTCACAATGTGTTTTATATATAAAAAAAATATTTGGACTGTTCTGTAAAAGAAATATGTGTCAGTCTTAAAAAGTATATTTATTAATTTACTTGTAGCCCAGTTTTTTTTTTATCACCTTAGAAGTGTGTTTCAAAGTCTAGACAACTGGAATAATATATTTCAGTGTGATTAAACAATAGTAATATCTTTATTTATTTTCTGAATCTGGTGATTGTTAACAGGTTAGATAATCCCACACCCTGGATTAATTTAGTGGTACAGCACAGGCCTGAGACTTGTAAAGCAGACAGACACTCAGACATTCACAGTCTCCACCTGACGTGTTCATCTGTGGAATTTGGGAGAAACATGCAAACTCTTGGGAGGCAGCAGTGCTAACCACCATGCAACCATACCACCCACATGTACAGTCGACTGAAACTCCAGCAGGCAGAAACACACACACCACACTTTCAGTCAGTGATTCCTAGGGAAGCTTCCTGGAGGATTCAGTTCTGTCACAATGTGTTCCATAAAACTAATGGAAATCTACTGGAAATGCAATCATGCTTAACAAGAGTGCAGTTGGTTTTTAGATGCACTTGTAATTGTTGTACCTCCCTGATTGAAGGTCTTCTCTGATGCACACACACACACACACGCCCTGACACAGTGTTCATATAAGAGACACGCAAGTTGCAAATAATGAAACAAATTTATTGATTCTTCCAGTAGAGACTTGATATTCATGGAATAAAACTGCTTTTCTGGGAGCGTTACTGAGCAAAAACATAAAGAGGAAAAACAAAACAAATCAGAAACAAAAGTGCACACAAAAAAATAACAGAAGACTTGTTCAAAAATACAAAAAGAATGTTAAGAGTATAACAGTTGAATTGCAAAGAGGATTTGCTGAAAGCACAAAAGAATTGAATGGCAAAATCTGCATTTTATAAAAAAAATTCATATTGGCATACCGATAACCCTCAGTCAACAATTAAAATTTGAATGCTCAACATTTTCCCATAACAGTCATTAAACAAGTTCTGCTCAGTCAATGTAATAAGAGAATGAAGCACAGTCACTGAAATATTTATGTCCTCAATGTGACTCCATTTTTGACACATCGTGAATTTGCTGCAGAGCGGACAGCAAAGGACAAACTAACCTCTGCCCCATGTGATGTTCAGCTACCAGTCTTAAAAGTGTAACACTACACTAACCAAACTATGCTTTGCAAAACCAGACTGCACAGCACATATTCTAATAGTGAATATATCTAAACACTATTCTTTTTTTTCCTTAGAATTCATTTGAAACACGAGTATAACACAAGATGAGCAACATTTAAACATGAGTCATTTAGGTCTGAAATGCCCTTTTAGTGCCATGCCCCACACTAAACCCCACCCTGAACTCTCAAACTCCCTTTAAATCTGCCCTCCTACTATTTTCATGGTTGGTGAAATGGGATTTCATTTACTTTACATAAGAAGACTTTGAGGAAACAGCATTCTTGTGTCTGGAGATGACTTAAATTTTTCTGTCATTCCACTCGTCCTCCAAGTCCCTGCAAACTTTGTACACGTTGTAAGTACATTTCCCGTCAACCTCGTTACAGTCAGACAGAAAACAGCAGCCAACTGCAAATTCGGTGACCTGGAATGTCCCATAATTATTTTAACTACACACGTGTATCTGGATTTTCTTTTTCAAGGGAATATTTAGATGCAAACTAGTTATGAGTCAGAATAATAGAACATTTAAAAAGAGACGTGTGGGAGCAAGATCGGGGAGGATTCCTGCGTCATGATGAGTGTGATGGTCTAATTATTACAGTTGGTCACAAAGATCAAGTATCTTCCAGTTGCATCACGCTCACTTTACTCACCCCTCTCCCAGTCTGTAAATGTGCCCAATTCAGACGTCCTTCAAGTAGAGAACAAACCCAAACCCATTTAACAACCCGTCCAACCCGACAGGTCCCAGATCAGCCTGTGTTTTAGTCTAAACCTCTATCACCTGTTGACTGAAAAACAAACTAGTCTGGGACCAGCTAGCCCCTTTTCTTGCTACTTAGACTAAAATGCTGGGGTGTGGACAGCCACAGGTGAGGACATCGGAGCCTAGGAGACGGAGGATATAGCGTTGTGGGGGGAGCCCATCTGGGTTAGAACCTTATCCAACCACTGCAGGGGACCGTGCAGGTGAATCTCAATCCAGCAGGGTGTGCTGGTCACATCCTGGCGGTGATACTCTGCTCCCCAGCCCTGGAACACATGGAAACACACGGTTTAGTTTGAGGGTGGGGACACAACTCATCCTCATGTTTTAAATAAATTCACATTTCACATTATTCGGACTTTCAAGTGGGAATGTGGGGATTTCCTAAAAAAAAATAAAGGATCAGATCATTTTAAACTTATTTCCCTCTTGTGCTGGTGACACACAATCTTCCTCTTGACATGTGTCCAAACATCCAAGTTTAGTTTTTATAATAAACTGCTCACTACACTTCACTGTTAAAAACATTCACAAGAAAGAAATAAGGAGTGAACACACATATGTTGCTGATTTTATTTTACAGCAGAAGATTAATGCTCATTGTTTGCACCATGAATGTTACTTATTATAATAATAATTTATGTTATTATTACGTTAAGTTATTTTTTTTGTTTGTCCATAAAAACTATAAATTTCAACTGATAATTAGTACGATACATTTAGTTGAATATTAAAATGTTTGCTCTCTTTCCTTGTCTGACCGGCTTACCTTCACGAAGCTCATGCGGATGGTACACATCTTTGTGAGCTCATAAACAGCCTCGAAGCCGTGGTTGACGGACTGGGCCAGCAGCTCTGCAAACTCCTGGTTATTGAAAATCTTCAGGCTGCAGCCGCTGGGAATCTTACACACAGTCGTGGGATGGAAGCCGTGGTGGAAGTTACAGTTACGACTCTGGACGAAGATACTGCTGTCACTCAGACATTCTGCGTACACCTCCCCACCAACGTAATATAGATGGACACCTGAGAGGAAGCAGGAGAGGATAACGTGTTGGTGTTGCTGTCATCGGCAAATTCAATGTATCCTAATCACCATTGTGGTCATTCTAGAAATCAATACACTAAGATGTTCACTCAATTGGTTGTTATTGTTCAGGTCACGTCTAGATCCACATCCCTATTGACACAATTAATTGATTTAGTCTTGTCGGAAATGTCTCGTCATTGATGGGGTTTGCGTGCTGCACCTTTTCCGATATGCCGCCGGGTGTTCTCAATGGTAGAGTTGCGGTTGACGTTGGAGAGCAAGCCGAGACAGAATCGGTTGCAGTTGTTGGAGGGATCTGTGAAGCCGTCGACAAGCACACTGGTGGAGGAAGCCTGGAACGCCTCTCCGACACGATTGTTGAGCTCGTAGTAAACAATAGAACACCAGTGCTTGGGCTCCTCATAGGCCACGGGCTGCACATCTGAGCAGGAAACACATTAACAGGTCAAAAGAATGAGCTGAGTACATTGTACATGCAGAGACACAAGCAGACACATTTAATGTGCTTTTAAGACTCCTCTTTGCAGACAAGCTGCCAGGATCCTCTGATCCCAGCAGAGGCTCGGCTGTAAATCTTACGCGTCGTTATTTCTTCCAAATTGTCCCCTGTAGCCCGTAACAATAATTTGAATAAACATATAGGACTCACTGGCTACACTTGTGTACATTTACGTGGCCAAAATCGATGCCGATGCATCCTAAAGCATGCAGACTGTCTGTGGCCTGCATGCCAGCTTTTATTGAGAGGGCGAACAGTCGATACAATGGGCCTGGCCATGCTCTCTGTGCCTGGTATCTCGGGGCGAGACAGTGCCAGCTGGCCTCACCCTCTCTGAGAGAGAAGGGGAATAAATCATGTTTATCTAAGCACATACTGTACTTCTTCCAAACTTCCTCTTTGGATTGGTACTGGCGAGCAGGTGTGTTTTGTCTATCCTCCTCCCAGCACTGGACTACGAGACCCACTCCTCTGTACAGGATGCAGCTTGTGGAAAAGAACTAAAAAACTCTGCGTACTCCCACTTCCAGCAAACATTTCAACAGCTCTTCCCGCTACTGTTGTCACCATGTGCTGAAACTCTCAGCCTCCAGTGCATTATAATAAAAACAAGTACACTTTGTAGGTCAGGTGTGGAAAACAAAGGTTCCGAAAAACATCCGGCTTCAAATCTACTTACACAATCAAACATTCTAGGTTTGTTATAACTGAGGTTTTATTTGCCTTTTGTCCATTGTTCTTTTTTATTTGGTTTTTAAGTGCTATAATATTGTGCTCGGTGACGCTGCTACCACACGGCCTGACACCGCCAGTATGATCAGACATATGAACAAGTCAACAATAAAGCCTGATTATGTAAATCAGAGGGTCCCAACATTAAGGTCTGGATCCAAACAAGAGTTTCCAAAATAATTAGTATAAAAAAAATTTAACACAAAATAGTTTTTTACAATTTCTGTTAAGATTGTGTTTATTTACCTCTCCAGGCTTAAATAAAACATTTAATTTGCACTGCAATCAATTTGTAGATTCACAGATATTGGAATGCAGAGAAACAAACAGAAAGTGGGAACCACGTAACTAAATTTAGGTCAAATCAAAGACTGTAATTAAAGATGACATGAAGGACATGACAGCTCCCCAGAAGTAAAGCCAAGGCTTCTTGATTTCCCCCTTGTGGCTAGTCGCATCCTCTATGTCCGATGATTACATTCGATAGTGATAGTTTTCCTATTTGCCTTTTGTTTGTCTGACCTGGGGATTAATTTAGAACCTGTCTACTCATGTGTTCCCCCAACAAATGTCTTTTTAGAAATGGCACCATTTAACCAGGACTCAGAAGTAAATGAAGGGGGTATATTCTTATTATAACCAATAGAAACTAGGGCCAATACTATAAAACAACAGAATTTTCCTTCAAATCAAATGTCTGGATCCCATTACATGTGCATGGCATGGTCTATTACAACTTCATGAACGTAGTTCTCAGATGTGTCTGCCCAATGCCATAAAGGTAAAACCACAAAGTCGTGATAATGGCAATTATTGCACCACATTTCAGATCTGGAAGTTGGATGTAATTAGTGACTCTTAATCGTTAACGAGTTTCAAGTCATTACCACCAGCAGAGGTGACATAAGCTCTGGTTTTATGGGTCTCATAAAACTGCTTAGTTTGCTGATTCTTTGAGCTTCCCCTGGGTTCGCACCCGCAGACAAAGCCTCACTGTAAACTACACAGATCCCTTTCCGCACGCTGTTCAAGTTTTATCTGACAGAATGTGGCCCTAACAACCCCACTGAAGTTTTTCTTTCTTTTTTTGTATTTGGAGTTTGACCACATTTTTTTTTTTTTAAAACAACCAGATTTCCCAGAAATGTTTGCACCTGCAGATCAAGGCAAGCAGGTGCAGACAGTTTTATGTTTGCAATGTGTGAACACAAGGATGGGTATGTGTGAGTGTGAAAGAGAGTCAGAGAGAGATAGCAACTCCCATGGTTACCTGGCCGGTTGTTACTCTCTACGGGCAAGGGTGGAGCCAAGAGGTTGGTGTCCATAGGCTGGGGACACTCCTGAGTCATCTGCTCCTCTGGAGGCATGTAGGCAGGAGGGGGAGTCTCTGCATCAAGAAGGGGGCAGAACAAAAGGAAATGAGCTTCTGTTGTGTTTTACTACAGAGGACAAGGAAGATGAGTGTATAATCTCCTGCTGTATCTAACCTGGCATCTGGAACGGACTGCCGGGGTCGGAGCTGGATGGTGAATGAGGGAAGGTGTTGCTGCTGCCACTTCCTGGTGAGTTTGGGTAGCTGTTTACCGGCGATTGCGGGAAAGTCATTGTGTTGGCCTGAGCAAAGGACTCTGGGAAGGTGGCATTCTGGGGCATGTGTGGCTCATTCTGCTGTAGAGGATTGCGGAAGCGAGGCAGCATCGTATGCTTGGCGTTGAACTCACTGTTCCTCGGCACCAACACAGGCGGCAGCACTGAGGAGGAAGGCAGACGTAAAAATATGAAATATGATTTCCAGTGAGTAGGAGGTTTAAATTTAGAAATCCGTTGAAGATGTATGGACTAATAAGTAAACAAAACACCCATGTGACACAGACGGCTTTTAAAGCTCTTGCTCTATGATATACAGTTTATATACTGAATCTAAATGTGTCAGTCGTCACGCTGTTTAAACCAGCTGTCTCTCTGACCACACAGGGTATGTCAGGTCACCGCAGGCAATGTTGTCAACTAACTGTTGATGCAGTAGTATTTATTACCCAATCATAACTCTGATGCATGTAGTTCCAATTATAAAGTAAACCATTTTTTAATTAAGTTTATATCAGATCAAACCGAACTAGAGTTGTAACTGAACATATGTTCAACTGTTCAATGGCTTTTATACAAAAAAGACGACCCTCGTCTCTTATCCTTTATCTCATTTGAAGCCCTGTCTTTCCTGATTAAAGCAACACTATGATACTTTTACTGAGCAACAGTGCCCTCTGCAGTCACACGTGGGGACTAACTCTGTTGGGTTCTGTGTCCAAGCATCAAGTGGTTTTCATATATAGAGAAAACAAAGTCTGTCAATCCTTAGACTGACGCTCTGACTGTGAAGTCCCAATCACCTGATTGAAACACATCTCAGCAGTTTATATCACCCATGATCCTCAGCTTCCTGAACCAGAAGAGCTGCTGCAATAACAAATACAAAGAACTCTTCTTATTTTAATCGTCTCTTCACTTAATTTGGACATAAACACTGTTTTAAATGACTTTCAAGTCTTTTCAACTGATTTACAGTTCAGCACTTCTCTTAAACTTGCTGGGCCTGATTCTGACAATTAAAATTGTCACAGGAGATCATACCCACTCACCAGAGTTACACAGAACAAGAACACACATTCAGGGTGAGAAGTGGGAATGGTTAGTTGTATAAAGACCACTTAGATATAATCCTTCTATATCAGTATATTACCATCTGTAGCTCTGCCTAAATTGATTATGAATCCGAGGAGTTGCTGATCCTTGGGAGATTTTAAAATCCTCTGCTATGTCGACCCACTGGATGAATAAACTCATCGTATCAGCAGTGTAGAAATGGTGCACAAACAGAGACATGCAAAACCTTTTACAAGCAAATTCATTAAGAATTTAGTTATTCCAATCCAAGATCATAAATACATTTCTGGGACATTTCATGACTCAACATTCTGAGCGCAGATGTCCCTGCATTTTTTTAAATGTCAGCTTCCGGCCTGTTGGACTGAGCCAGCAGTATTTGGCCCAGACTCTCAGGTTTCTTCTCAGAAAAGACATTGTGAGGCGAGGAATTCATCACTTAGGTTAAGTATCCTGGCTGATGTGAGGGCTATTCAGGTGCAGTACAAACCACAGAGATACGCTCCACTTGTGTCTATAAATACCTGCGTAGATAAATAAAGCTGGTGCCGAAATTTTAGACGAGGCCTGCGCTTGCTGTCAGTGTTCCTGCAGGTAGACCATGTGTGCTGCAATGGACCGAGCATCAACGAAGCAGTTTATTGCAAAGGTTATATGTGGAGCAGGCGGACAGCTGTGGTGTTTGGTGAAGGGAGATTGACAGGATGTGTGTGTGTGTGTGTGTGTGTG